AATTTATTGTAAAAACATGACAGATAATCTGTGAAACAGATCCAGTTTATCTATTAGTTTCCATGGAGGCTGTGAGCTGTCCTGTTTGGTCTGTTTCTGCTCCTCCATGCTGTCACAGACGCTAACAGTGGARGGTATGGGCGGGGCTTAGTCTAGTGATCTATATTCAAGTCTATGGTGTCGTCTAGAAAGAAATGTTTCTTTTATTTCTCCAGTAGAAGTGCCACCTAATCATCCTGTGTGTTTGTTTACCTGTGTGTTCACTGCATCAGTCAGTTTTAAAGATACAGAGCTAAAACATGACGTCATGCTAAACTGATCGCCCAGTTTTATGTTGTTTGTTTCAGCTGATGTTGTGGAGGTCACAGCAGGGCCCAGCGTCGAACCACCAACTCTGTTTGTGCCGGTCCAAGCTCCAGCTGTTCCCTGTGTGACTGAGCCTCCCCCAGCTGTTACCGACGAGGCGGGAGAACCGAACCCCCCTGAGCCTGTCAAAGCCCCGTCGCCTCCACCCAAACCTCAGCCGACGTACAGCGACGAGGCAGGCGCAGCTCCCACACCTCTTCTCTTCATATTTGTTTAGTTTTCTCACGTTCTGCTTCTTCTTCAGGACATCATGGCCGAGCTGGACTCTGTCGTAGAAGAGGTACTCGAAGCAGAAGTGAAGGAAGTGGCCGACGCCGGAGCCAGCTACGCCGCGGCGGCGCTCACGTAAGCTCGGGTCCCATCACGTCGGGGTGGGGCGGAGCCTTCGACAGCGTTGATGATTGGAGCGTGTTGCTTCTGCAGGGAGAGCGAGGCGCAGGTGGAGGTTCTGGTGAGGGAGGTGTTGGGACACATGCTGCGGGAGATCTCCTCTTCCGAGATCAAACTGGAACAGGAGCGCATCGCAGAAGAGGAGCGAAGGATCGAGGAGGCCAGGTTTGTGGAACTCATTAATAATCCACTAATAATTTATTTATTATTTATTTTACAACTTTACAACACAATGTAAGAAATATTTCGTGTTCGTTAAATGAAATCGTGACGAAACCACATAATATTGAATATATTAAACTGTGACTGGAATAGGGACAATACAACCCAGTTCTGGTTATGAGCGGAGCTTTATTGTTTAGACTAGAAACAATCTGAGCAGTGCTGCCTGAAACCCGGAACTTCAGGTCCTTTTGTACAGAGTCTTCAGTGCCTGCAGCGCCCCCTGCAGGCCTACAGCTGCATTGCAGGCCACTCGAACAAACATTGGGCCTCATGCAAGAACATGTTCGTATTCTTCTCCTAAATTTCTCTTACTTTTGTTCGTACAAAGGGTTCGTACGAACATGTCACGTCAGATTCAACAAACTCTTCTACCTTCAGGAAAAGTGCGTAAATTCCACCTGTTCTATTTAGCTGCTCGTGCACGCG